CTTTAGCAAACACCACCCTGATCAGTTAGCAGCCATCAACATTGAGGCAAGACCCTCCACTAGCAAAGATTATGACTTGCTGAAGGCTCAGATGATCATCAGCATTTTTTTAGCACTGAAGTATTTTTTAATTAAGGCATGTACATTGTCTTTTTTAGACATAATGCTATTGCACACTTCATAGACTACAGTATAGTGTAAATATAACTTTTATATGCTCCGGGAAACCAAAAAATTTGTGTGACTCACTTTATTGTGGTGGTCCGGAACTCAATCTACACTATCTCTAAGGTACGTCTGTACTCTTTCCTTTCTACGCTCAAGCCACACTGACATTCTTTGAGTTCTTCAAATGTACTATACTCTTTCCTAACTCAGATTCTTCCAGCACTGATACATGCCAGACACTGTTCTAAGTGCTATACATGTATTAACTCATTTAAACCTCACAAAACTCCTATGAAGTAGGTACTATTATTATTTCCATTGTATAGATAGGCAAACTGAGGCACAGAGAACTCACCCAAGGTACATAGCTAGTGAGTTATAGAGCCAAGATCTGAACCTAGCAATCTGGCTGCAGTGTCAATGCTCTTATCCACTATACAGTTGTTCTTTAGTATATTTGGGGGATTGGTTCCAGGAATCCACATGTACTCAAGTCCTGCAGTCAGCCCTGCAGAACCTGCACATGCAAAATGTTGGCCCTCTGTATACTTAGGTTTCTCGTCCCTGAATACTATATATTTGATCCGCATTTGGTTGAAAAATCCACATGTAAGTGGACCCATGCAGTTCAAACCCTTGCTGTTCAAGGATCAACAGTACTTTGCTACACTTGCTGTTTCTTCTCCCTGGAACCCTCTTCCTTCTATTATGCATAGTTAATTTCTACTCAGTTTCTCAGATCTCAGCTCAAATGTTGCTACCTCAAAGAAGTTTACCCAGACTAGGTGTATAGTTGGCCCACCATATATGGGGGTCCTGCATCTGCAGATTCGACCAACTGTGGATCGAAAATATTCGAAAAATATAAAAAATAATAACAATAAAAATAATACAAATTAAAAATATAGCATAACAACTATTTATATAGCATTTACATTGTATTAGGTATCATAAACAATCTAGAAATGATTTAAAGTAGTAGCCCCCAACCTTTTTGGCACCAGGGACCGGTTTCATTAAAGACGATTTTTCCATGGGCCAGGGGGGTTGGGGGGAGATGGTCTCAGGATGATTCAAGCACATTATATTTATTGTGTAGTCAAACCTCTCTGCTAATGACAATCTGTATTTGCAGCCGTTCCCCAGCGCTAGCATCACCGCCCCAGCTCCACCTCAGATCATCAGGCGTTGGATTCTCATAAGGAACGTGCAACCTAGATCCCTCATATGCACAGTTTACAGTAGGGTTCACACTCCTATGAGAATCTAATGCCCTGCTGATCTGACAGGAGGCAGAGGTTATGTGGTGATGCCAGCAATGGGGAGTGGCTGTAAACACAGAAGAAACGTTGCTCACTCACCCGCTGCTTACTTCCTACTGTGCAGCCTGGTTCCTAACAGGACACAGACCAGTACCAGTCTGCGGCCCGGGGATTGGGGACCATAGATTTAAAGTATGTGAGAGGATGTGTACAGGTCATATGCAAATACTGTGTCGTTTTACCTAAGTGACTTGAACATCCGTGGATTTTGGTATCTACCAGGGTCCTGGAACCAATCCTTAGCAGATACAGAGAGATGACTGTATAATAGAAGACCCTGCCCTGTTCCATACTTTCATAACACACTATAGCACACTATCCTAGTGTCATAATTATATAATATTATATATTACAATTATGCATGATTATGTGTTTTGCATTTGTCTGTCATTCTAGGCACTAAGTTCCACAAAGGTAGAAACTGTGTCTGCTTTGTTCAATAAAGTATCCCAGCATAGTACCTGTCACATAATAGTATTCAGTAAATATTTAATGTTGGAATGAATGAGCAAATAAATGAATAGGAAGAAGGACATTTTTGGCAATAGAAATAAACATGAAAGAAAACAGGGGACAGAACTGAGTATGGTATTTTATAATTCAAATGATACTATGGACAGGTAAATTACTTATATTCTCCATAGTGAACCCTAGGAGGAAAGGAGATAAAGAAGGAAATAGACTGTAGTCCCAGCTACTCAGGAGGCTGAGGCAGGAGGATCGCTTGAGCCCAGGAGTTTGAGATTGCAGCGAGCTATGATGACGCCATGGCACTCTAGCCCGGGCAACAGAGTGAGACTCTGTCTCATAAAAAAAAAAAAAGCGGGGAGGAAGGAAACAGAGAGGGAAGAAAAGAGATTAGGTGAATAGTAGTCATCACCAAGGAAGGTGGCCAGAGAGGGAGTGACCACTAAATAGTTGGGAAACAACAGATTTCTGGTAGAAAGAATGCTATACCCTGGAAGGCAAGAAAACTTGACTCCCTCAAACCTGCATCAATCCAATTGCCTACCTTCTCAGCTCCTCTACCAGGGCCCCTGAGCTGGTGCACAGCCAGTGATATTGATACCACCACAAATTCATGCTTCCTTCTAGTCAGGTACCTCTTTCCATTTCTGGTAACAGTGATTTCAAGCCTTCTGTGATCTCTTCAAGCCCTCTGCCCTATTTATTATCTGACTGCTCTTAGAAGAAGACCTTGCCTCCTACTTCACTGAAAAAGTCATCAAGCTAAAAATCTCTCAATTTCCCTTCTCCTCTTCCCTCTAAAGTAGTGTCACTGTATTCTTTCTACCCTAACCTCCTTTCTTCTAGTTTTGAGAGCAGATGTCTCCTCTACAGTCAAAAGCAAATCCCCCCTTATTTGAAATTAGAATCTCAACTACTTAGAGACAGCCTTTTACGAGCTAGTCCCTATTCTCAGTTTCAGTCTCTCCCAACTGGTTCTTCTACTTGTTCAAGTCGCTTTCATATTTTAAAAACACAGACCTACATCCCTTGACCCTTCACTACCTGACTATTGTCTTTTTTCACCTTGCCTTCTTGAAAGAAGCTTCCTCCACTTTCTTATCTACCATTCCATCTATCCATTTTATCCTGTAGCAGCCTGCTCTTATCATTATCTTGACCTTCTTCTCACTGAGGTCACCAATAGCCTCCTTGTTGAAAAAAACCAATGGATACCTTTCAATCCTTATCTTACTTTATATTTCTTTGTAAATTTATACTTTTGACACCCTCCTGGAAATGTTTTTCCCCTGGCTTCCATGACACCACTGGTTTTCTTCTTACATGTCTAATCCTTATTAATCTCTCTTGTTGTCTTCTCTTCTTTCCCTATTCCTTAAATACTGGCACTTCCCAGAATTCTGTCTTTGGCCTTTTTCTCTTCTTCATTTGCTCATTCAACAATTATTTAGTGAGTACGTTTAATGTGCCAGAAACTCTTTGATCTCATCCACTCCATAACTTCAGATACTATCTAAATGCTGATGACTCTCAAATCTCTATCTTCAGCTTAGATCTCTCTAAGTTAAACCCATACAATTGGTTATGTTTAAACATCTCTACTTAGATGTTCCCCAAGCACTTCAAATTCAAAATGCCTGAAACTGAACTCATCATTTCCATTTTCCTACTGTACCCTATTTCCCCCCCTATATTCCCTGACTCAGAGATTATCCTACCAATCACTCAGTTGCCCAATCAAGAAACTTCGGAATCAACCTTAACTCTTGCTACACACACTTCTTTCCCCACATCGAATTTGTTACCAAGCAAGCCTGATACATTCTACCACCTTCTTGTTTTTTGCTCTAATTTTCCCCCTTCTCTTCATCTCTATTGCTACTATCTACTCAGGCCATAGTTCTCATCTGGGTTATTACAACAGGCTAATTAATTTTCTTACTTCCGATCATGCCTAGCTCTAATCTACTTTCTCCACATTTGCTAGAGGGATCTCCTTAAAACACACACTTCATCGTCACCCTCTTCCTTAAAACCCTTCAGTGGCTCTTCATAGTTTTCAAGACATATAAGGAACTTCAGAATCTGGACCCTGCCTACCTGTCTGGCCTCAGTGAAATCGCTAATCTTAAATAGACAGAAAATATGTTAATAGGAGTTACTTTAAGAGGTCCGCAAACTAACATATTGCTTAACCATCTCTAAACTTCTGATAAAGGAGAAACTGAGAAACAGAAACTCTGTCATTCCACTCACATACTTACGATGTTTCCCATCAAATTTTAAGTGCCTTATACCTGTTGCTTTAGATGATTAAGTTCAGCCGTCTGGGGATCAATATTAACAATAGGTTTGTTCTTGATTTTTCTTGCTCTGTCAGCATAGCGAAGGGTATTTAATGTTTCCTCCAGATTGGAGTCAGCAGGACTCACACAGGCTATCATAAGAGTATGGCTATTACCTCCTAGAGAATCTGAAAAAGAACAATAAAGAACAATGGAAGGAAATGAAATTAATCAAGTAGGATGCAAGCGAAGCTGTCCATTTGGGCTGGTGACTTAAAACTCAGAGCTGTAAGAAAAAGTTCTTAGATATCTACAGATTTCCCATATGTGTCAATATGAAAAATACTAAGATTTCTGCTGTGTAAAATGATGTAGTTTAGAATCCTATAGAGAGTGTCCCCATTTTCAAGAGATCATGACTGCAACAATTAATTAGGTTAAAACAACTGGGACCTTGCCCAAGTAAGTTAGGAGCCACTATTGGGATTAAACATTCTTAGGATGCCCCCTCTAGGTAGATTTTAATTCTCCAGAGAATTCTGCTTAGTAGCACTAATAATTAAAGAACAGTAACCAAGTTCATTCTCAGGTGCCATGTACTAAGTACAGTTGGCAGTCTATAGATTTCTTGGCTCTCAAAATCATATATGAAGACATCTTTCCATTATCTCAGAAGCCTGCCTGCCAACAGCTCTTTCTCCTATTTATCAATTAGACAACTCTGTATGTGATAGTTCAAATAGCTGGCTTTTTAAATGTTTCATCTTTGCTTTCTCAGCACTATCATTCTGAGTTACTTTCTCTTATTTTTACAGGTACTTTGGGCTTACCTTGAAGCAGTCGAGTCAACTTGGAATCTCTATAGGGCACAAAGCCACCCTTTTTGTCATCTCCAAGAGCACTGATTACATTTCCCAAGCACAGGAGGCCTCGATTAATATTAATACCTAATAGCAGGAAACAAAATTTAAATTGCTTGGTAAAACATATAATGTATACCTACATTTCTTCTGAGAAAGAGAAAAGAAATAAAGACACACACACAGAAAAATTAAGTCACCAATATTAAGAAAACTTCTTAATCCTGTTGACTTTTCTAAGTGCCTCTTTAAGTTCAAAGGACAAAGGTCCAAATGTTGGATATGTACAATTGAGTCCATTGGCACTTTTTGCCCTTTGTCATGGAAACAAAGCAGACAGATAACTATCATCATGACAACAATCATCTGTGTAGTTATTAATGTTTACTTTTTTATATCAATTATCACTATCCTTAAATTAATGCTATGAAATTGGATGGAAAGCTATTTTTTACTATCTTATTATCATTATTTTTACTATCATTCTCATTTTATAGATGAGGAAATAAGGTCAGGATAAGTGGCTTGCCTAAGTTCAAATATCTAGTAAGCAGTAGACCTGAGATTCCATCTTAGGATTTTAGTCAAGTCCTATGCTCTTTCCATTACACCACACTGAAATACTTTGCGTATTGTTGCTTTTAAAAGGGTAAAAATTCTTTTCCACTTCATTTAATTCCAAGGTTTGCTCTTTAAACATTGCAATAATCTCTGAAGTCCCTCTAAAGCACCTGACTGTCATTCATTACATTTACTGTGGAATGGGAATATAGTATAATGGTGAATTGCATCGTCTAGGTTCCAATCCTGGCTTGTCACTGACTAGGGATATGATTTTTGCTAAGTTTTTCTATAACATGAGGCAAATCTACCTACCTTATTGGGTTGTGGTAGGGAATGAAATAAGATACTACATATAAAACAAAAGTTAAATGATAAATAAATGGTGTTATGGGCCGGGTGCGGTGGCTCACGCCTGTAATCCTAGCTCTCTGGGAGGCCGAGGTGGGCGGATTGTTTGAGCTCAGGAGTTTGAAACCAGCCTGAGCAAGAGCGAGACCCCGTCTCTACTAAAAATAGAAAGAAATTAATTGGACAGCTAAAAATATATAGAAAAAACTAGCCGGGCATGGCGGCGCATGCCTGTAGTCCCAGCTACTCGGGAGGCTGAGGCAGGAGGATCGCTTGAGCCCAGAAGTTTGAGGTTGCTGTGAGCTAGGCTGATGCCACGGCACTCTAGCCCGGGCAACACAGTGAGACTCTGTCTCAAAAAAAAAAAAATGGTGTTATGGTGTGAATGTTTGTGTGCCTTCCAAAATTCATGTTAAAACTTAATCCCCAATGCATTAGTATTAGGAAGCAGGGCCTTTAGGAGGTGATTAGGCCATGAAGTGTCTGCCCTCATGGACGGCATTAGTGCCTTATAAAAGGGCTGGAGGTAACTAGCTAGACCCTTTTGCACTTCTGTCCCTTTTGCCATGTGAGGACACAACGTTCATCCCTTTTTTCCCTTTTGTATGTAAGGATGCCACAAGAAGATGCCCTCGCTAGACACTGATTCTGCTGGTGCCATAATCTTGGACTTCTCAGCCTTCAGAACTGTGAGAAATAAATTTCTATTGTTTATAAATTGCCCCATCTAAGGTATTTGACATAGCAGCACAAATGGACTAAGACAAATGGTATTGTTATTGTTAGCTCTATACTTATACAGCCATACTTTGGACTCCCTAATAACCTGAAACATTTACAAGATTCTGAATTCCAAATTCCTCTCTGACTGCATCCTACTTTCCTTCCATTTCTTTCATGAATACTGTCCTTCACTCTTTTTGTGACTACCAATTTACTGATACTTTCTAATACTGTTAGTAGATCAGCATTTTCTGGACCTTAAACTCCTATTCTGAACGCTGTGGTCAATCATTTCAGTTATGCTTTCCCAAGAACTCACTGGACCTATGACCTTCTGCCATTCCCACCATGTCAATTCCCAACCATAGATTAAAGCAACTGTGTGTGTGTGTATGTTTATTTATAGGCTACAATGCTGAAGAAATAAATAACACAGCCAAATGGATAGCACCCATTATAAATACACTATCTAACCTTAGCTGAACCCTTGGTCAACTGACAATCTTTTCTTCTTCATTCCTACTTTACTAATCTAATCTAATTCACCATGGCAGCCATTCTAAACACTCATCAGTTTTAAGATTGTAAACCTACCTTCACTTTCTACTGGTAGATGATTTTACCAAATACTTTATGGAGAGCAAAGTTATCCACAGGGGATCCCTAACTTTCCCTCTCTCTACCTCACATTCTTTCCTTTGCTGTTATCCACTCCTTTATCCTTCTACCTGTTTCAGAGGAAATAGCTGCCTTTATTTTCAAGGCTCTGCCTTCTGCCCCTGCCTGTGTTTCTATTCCCTCCATTTTCTCTGGGATCCTGGATCCTTTGATCTTCCCCCTCTCTCTTGGATTTTCAATTTATTATCTCTTCACTAATTCCTTCTTTTCAGTCTATACACATGCTCAGATATCCCTAATCTAAAACAAAAACTATTTCCTCGAATAATCATCCTTTTCTTTTCTTTTTATTGCCAATTGGAAGGGGTATCATTGTGCAGAGCTATTTATCCTATCTAGGATGTGAAGGAAAGCCAGCCTGCTGAGATTTATCAAACCTGCTTGCCAATACCTGTTCTAATCCCTGTATTACATTCCTTTCTTTTCTTTTCCTTTTTAGCCAAACAGAACATTGTGTTATCTTATTGGCCCATATAGCACCTGGATATAAAGGAGAGACTGCTGAAGTTTTTCAAAACTGCTGAGTAAAACTTCCATCTATAGTTTCATATAGGAACAAAATAAAATTCCAGATGAACCCCGAGAAGAATCTATGGTTATGATCTAAGCAAGAACCATAGACTTAAGGATAAAGTAGGTGTTTTTTTTCTTCTTCAAATAAGAGCTGGGGCTCTGGAAAAGAAAGGAGCTAAGGGATATAAATGTTTCCCTAGAAAGAAATCATCAAAAAATAGGATTTGATTTCCTGTTGTTAAGATATGAAAATGTCATGTTCTTGACAAGGATGGAATATATATTACAAAGACTGGGAAGAATATGCTTGTATAGACTTAAAATTTCTGACCAAGGACAGCTATGAAGAAAAATGCCCAGATAAAATTATACAACCAAAAGTTCTTCTCTTGGTAAGACTGAGAACAGATCAAGTAAGGAGAGTCAAGAATATTACTCAATACCTTTGGGTGTTTGTTCATTAGGGCAACAAATAAATAATAAAAGAGAGATTTTAACTTCAAAAGGGGAATATAACTTCACAGGTATCATGCAGGCACATTACAATGGGTTTCACAACTGGAATAGAGGAGTATATTTGTAACAGGGAGGGAGTGAAATCAGGTAGGACAGAAATGATAGAAACAGCTCTTTATGTGGTGGTTCTCAATTATAGGCAGTTCTGCTTCGTAGGGGACATTTGGAAATATCTGGAGATGTTCTGGTTGTCATAACTTGGAGGTGGGGCATGTGTGCTATTGGCATCTAGTGGGTAGAGGCCAAGGATGCTAAATGTCCTGTGATGTATAGGGCAACTTCCCTCCCCCTAAACAATTATTTGACCCACAATGTTAATAGTGCCAAAGCTGAGAAACCCTGATGTATATGTGAAGAAAATATGGGCCTAAGGTGGGTAGCATGGCCAAGTAAATTAAGGTATAAAACAGAAGTAATATTACAGTATAGATACGATCTGCCTGGTCAGAGAGAAAGGGAATGATCTTTTACTGAAATGGGGCACAAAACTTAGAGAGGCAACCAGTGAGAGGGGATAGAGTGGGAAGGGCCCTTGATTAGGAGAGAGAGAATCTTAGTTCAAACTCTGCCTCTGCCACTTATCAATGTGTGTTGAACAAGCCACTGAAATTTTCCTTTATTCATAAAACAGGGGCAATACCTACTTTACCTTATGGGACAAAGGCGATAAAAACCAAATGTGATGTGTAAAGGGCTATCTATTTACATATAAGTTATTATTAACAGAGTAGAGAAACTTGGAAATCTGGAAGTTTGCTAAGTCACATAAGGCTGAAAGCAGAGTACCTGAAAAATCCCTTATTTATTCTGATAACAATTTATTACCCCAAAGGTACTGCGAAATGAAGAAGGAAATGGCTGCTTTGGCCTTCAAGTTGACACACAAGGAAGAATTGACTACAGAAGTAAAATGATGTAAATCTGGTTGTAGGGGAGCAAGAGGCATGGTCAGACATCAGTACCCTAGCCTTTAAGAAGACACTCTCTAAAATTCAAGCAAAAAGATAGTTAAGATCCCAGGGACAGAAAGTCTAAAGGGGAAAATAAAAAAAGGGTAGAAGTCTTTCAAAAAATAAAATTATAATTATCTAGTCACAAATTATTCCAATAAAAAAATCAATGTAGCTACATAGGAATGGGCTTTCAAATAAACTCGTATATAAAAAGAATACATAGAGCACTATGGGAAATTCTGCTCAAACATAGTAGACTAACCACCAGCATTTCTCTCCTCTCCCTCATAAAACATCACTGAAAGGAGTAAAAAATGTACTAATCCACTAGATCACAGAGCACAGGAGAGGAAATATCAGTAGGCAGATGGTTTCAGCATATTTTTAGAGTAAGGGTGAGAAGTGATAACTGCCTTAGCAAGATGGAGGAAGCCTCAACTTAAAGTGCCTTCAGAGGGTCAATGATGGTGACAACAGTGACAAAACAGCTAAGTTTATATAGTGTTTATAGCACTACCGGTACTAATAGGTCCTAGGTATTTTATACCTAGTACCTCATTTAATCCTCACGATAGCTCATAAAGTAGATATTATTAATATAATTATTGCTGTTCTGACAGATATGAAAGTTGAGGCACAAAGAGGTTGTTAGGTAACTTGCCCAAGGTCACACAGCTAATAAGTGGCAGAGTCAAAATTCAAATGTAGGCAGTATGGCTCCAAAGTTTTAATCTCTATGCTCTATGGAAGTGAGCTAATTTGCTCACTTAGAAGACACCAGGTTCTGTAGAA